AGCCGTTTTGGCGAGTCTTTGGCCAAATTTGATGCACACGCCATTCCGAAATCGCAGGAGGGTCGGTGTAATGCACTACCAAAACGCCCGTAACTAAGAAACAAATGCTAATTCGATGATTCCGGCTGGCACACTGATTCACTATGAATGTAGGCCGCACCCCCTAGCGGCAGAAGCTCGTACTACATCCGGTTCGCCCTCTATTGACACAGTCTTGAAACTTTCCGATCGTACCTCGTATAATGCGTGTAAATACTCCAAATATTTCGGTATTGATTACATATTTCCATTTGTATTATTATAACCATTTGACTCGAGTTTCAGACCTTGTTTTCCTCAAAGGAAACCGTGCACTGGGCTCGCCAGAACAAACATAGACACATTTATTCTGAACGCACTTCCATAAGGCAGGAGTCAGGTGCCTAATTGATTTGCTGACGTTACTGTAGGGTACTTCGTTTCCTTGAAATTAAATATTTTACTTACAAAATACCATAGCAACGTGCACACTTTTCTTAAAGAAAGCACCCCAAAATCCTTAAAAGTAAAGTAAACAGAAATAATGAATATTCAATAAATGCACTCCGATTAGCTGTCTGCGAAGAATGGGGCGAGGTTTAGGTCTGTTTGTACTCAGATATTCTGTACTTAAACACAGGATTTTTTTTAAATACGCGGCACAACTTTAGAGACTTATTTCGCGGGCATATGGCCCATTTGATTTTGGAATTAGAAGTATAAAAACTAAACCACAAACGCGACCATGGTTAAGTGTTTGTTTACAAACAGCTGATTTCAACGTCACATATCACTCTTTTAATCAGAAAAAAATTACACGGATTTCTCTAAAATGTTGTCCTTAAGCGTCCATATAAGGCTCTGTACGTATTGTTGAGGATTCTCGCACACACTAAAAAATTCCAGGCGAATTACGAATTACACTACGTCATAAATTCCGTACCGTAAACAATACTTTTAAGATAAATAAAAATTTTCTACTCCATGTCACTACAACTCTTTTGTAGGGCCTTGGCTCCCTTTAAATAAAAATCTACCGGGTTTAATATAATTGATATTTCGAGATATGGCTCTAAAAGGAAACGTCCAAGTTTACGGATAATTTCGTTGGTCTTTGTCGATAGAACACGTCCCTAAAGTGTGTTTTAGAAAAATTCTATATAGGCCTACCTGTTTATTTTGGCAAATCTTACGGTCACTGTGCAGAAGTACACGCTGAGACACTCTGGCCGCCGTCTGTCAGCAGAATTCAAACACTGGCAGTTCTGTAACCGCGGAACATTCCGTGCCGTTTCACGCGGTCGAAGCAAACATCTGCGTCTTCGAGTTCCCTGCATTTAACGGACCCAATTCAAGTCGTCTGCAATTTAATACTGCACTCGGCCGCAATGGTCACTGTTGTCACTACTTATACTGTTGTAAACCCAGTTTAAAAAGAGCTACGCCATTGGACAAGATCATTGCTGAAACGACAATAAATTCTCATGTTTACGGTAAAAATATAGTTCTGTTGGGCAATCATGCAGAACGCATTTCATAGTTTCGCGGTCAAACAACGGGACTTGAGTTTATTTTCGGTTACTCTGGACCTTCTTCCAGAAAGCCGCTGAGATTATATATTTATGTATCAATACAATAATTATGCCAGTACAGTCGAGTTGAAGATAGGCCTGCAATTAACACATAGGACAGATGGAGTGACTGTCAGTAGGCTACGGCTAGGTTGAAATCTCGGCCCGAAGACAAGCTAACCTGTTTGAGCTTTCTGTGGTTTTCCTCAGTTTCTCCAAGACGATGCTGGGCTATTAACTAAATTTATGCAATAGGCTACAGAGGGTGAGCTGGCGCCTATCACAGCGGTCGTGTAGTTTAAGGCGTGGGTTAGAATCCCTCTCGTGGCGTGGATAAATGTCCGCGTCTTTCTGCGTTACGCTGTCCTGTGGAGGTTGAAGCCGTACGTAGAAAAATTTTCCAAATTCTTGAAGAAAAGTCCTCAAGAAAAGTCAAGGATCAGCACAGGTTTTCAGGCCTACGTTGGAGGCTACTTGTAATAGACGCCCGGTATACTAACAGCGTCTTTAAATAACTCACAAATAAAATGGAAGCTGTAATCTTGTACGGGCATATATTAGAACCTGACCACGTGTTTTATAAAGTTTAGTTTAGGCCTTCGTATTGATTTATTACAGGCTAAATTGAGTACCTACTTTATAATAGAATACATATTGATCAAAATGCTGACCTGATAAATAATATAAACCGTAATTAAACCATTAGAGATGTTAAAAATATTTTATATGTAATTCGTGCAAAGTGATAAGCTTAATTACAGAAATACAGACCTTTTACGTTTCGTGTGTACACAGGAAGCAACATCAGAAGAAATACTGAATGAGAAATTTATTTTGTATTAAAATCAAATATTGTCTAATGTCACGACTAACTTTTCGTTAACTTGAAAATTATTTTAATTGATATTTTTCACGGCAGAGCCAACAAAAGAACAACGACCTACAGGCTTTAATTCGTAGTGGGCTGGGACATTGACTGAACCAACAGTCGAATCCTACTTTACAAACGAAGGACTCGCCTGGAAGCGAACCCTTGACCAGGAACAGTCTGCCTTTTCACCGTTTGGAGTCCTTACAATTAATGTAGTGGGTCCGTGCACTGCGAGCGAATTGATCTCATTTCATATTTTAACGTATCGTTTCGCTAATGAAAGTCTAAACAATTTGCGCTGCACAAATTAACGTCCTATTGTATCAGCTGTACTATTACTGTTTAATATCTCGCCATTTACCACAAGTAGCGTGGCCATATTTTCCCCAATATTCTTCTCATTCTTCAGTTTCTGCTGTTTAGGCAATCTGGCAGTAACGATTCAGAACTTCTAAAACTACGAAGCCTCTTAACGCATTTGTTAAACTCCTTGGACATAACGGGGCGAAAACACGCAGACATATATATCCGTCCCGAGTGGGATTTTAATCTTTGATCCACACGTTCAAGAGACCACTGTTATTCTTGACTATTAAAATGACGTTCGAAGACAGTGCGCATATGTTCCTTAAAGAAAATTTGCAGCTTAAACAAAATTAGATGCTCCATCCTATTATTTTACATAATAGAAAACTCTCCGTAAAGGAAGACAGAAAAATCTAATATACTTTACAGAACACATTTTTACTGAAAAGTCGCACAAAGTATCATATAAAGATTAAAATTCTTACTTATCTTTGCTTAATTACGAAAGATACTAAGACTAAACACCTAACATCTGTGTTCATTGCAATTTATCCACAGAGCAACACATAAAATTAAAATTAAGTAACATCACTTATCTTTGTTTATTTAAAGAATATAAGCCTAATACGATTTAACTTACCACGACTTCAAATATGATCTTATATCGAGATTATAATAACTGTAATGCATTTTATAGAAGTGCACGCACATACAAGGTATCTCTTAACAGTGTTATCACGGCAACAGATATAATATTAAGAGGCAGCAAGGATCTCTGAAATGTTATCACATAATGCCAAAAATTCCTCAACAGAAAATGATTACAAACATTATTTACACACAAACACATGGTATTCCGGTTGATTACAGAAGCTGTTTAGTTTAACACGCGTGTGGTCTTAAACCACTACTAAATTAGAATTACATTCTCGAATTACCTTCGAAGCACGGAAACGTGTTTGTATTTTTCTGTGCTGCATTTGCTGGTTCCTGTATTTGCAGGGACTTGTTTGTACCGACCTTTTCCTTGTCCAAGTGATCACATGTTTTAAGGTTTTAGAATTAATTTTGTAGCAGAAGAGGCCACACGGTCAAATCCGTGACAGCTAAAAAATAAGCAAATTATATTCTACCTTGCCCAACACTGGGATACCAATTTCAAGACAATTTTCTTCTAGAAATTCAAGTTACTTGCCCAGTAAACAATTTTCGTATCCACGCCACACAGTCTTACAAAAGCAGAAAGAGATAAATAATCAACCCAGACATCCCATTAAGCGTTTTACCTGTCAAAGACATGTCAAAAAAAACCCTATAATTTTACCGATACATCGAGACACGACATTATTTTAAAGAAGAAAACTACCTCGAGATATTTCCTCATAAAAAATATTGTTATCAGGCAATTACACAAAAAACGAATTCATTCTTTAAACGTGAAATAAAAGAAAGACTAAAATACAAGGGCAACAAGCTCAAATCTCGATGAGAAGTCAAAACACTTTGAAAAGAGGATACAAAATTATAAAAATTTGCATTTTCCTCAATAAACGCAGTTATATAGCGTTCGGAATTTTCCGAATGCTGTATTTTTTTAACCTAATAAAAGAAGGTTGTTAACATAACAAACAAAAGTCTTACAAGCATCATATATATTGCTTACACGCAATATCGCTTCGTTTACTGAGGAAAATGCTGTTTACAAACGAAGGATAATAAACATATGATTCGATGTTGGATATTGACTTTGGCCGTTAGAATTTTAAACACTGGATGTTGAACGTCATATGTCGGACAATAAATTTTGGCTTTCAGGACAATGAATGTTAAACACTGTTGTACAATCAGTGTTCAGCTCAGTTCAATTCATGTATAGTTTAAAATAATATTTCAAATAATTTGCCTAGACATTTGTAGAATTTCCTCTGAATGTCTGTTACAGTTAATTCTTGTATAATATTTTCCACATTCAAATTCTAATTTGTCGTATTTTACCTTAGTTTTACAACTATACGCCAATAATTATTATACATTACCCTATTATGTTTATGATAATTACCTAATGTTTTAAATTCTAAGCAGTTAGGATATATTTTTCCTCCATTTATTTATTATAGTTTTTGTTGCAATTGGTAATTCGAAAGGTGGAAATATAAATTTCTTCATATGTTTTCAAATTTCCCGATTTAGACTGCGATAGTAATCTTTGGGGGCAAAAAACAATTGATACGTAAGATTTGAGGTTTTCACAGCGGTGAGTTTGAAGATTTCTGTCTTCTGGGCTGTTGCACCGTGTAGTATGGTCGATGTTAACCAACGTTTCGGAGGTCATACTGCCTCCGTCATCAGGGCGATCGCCCTGATGACGGAGGCAGTATGACCTCCGAAACGTTGGTTAACATCGACCATACTACACGGTGCAACAGCCCAGAAGACAGAAATCTTCACCAATTGATATATTTGTGAATTTTGATTGTGTCACAATTAATTTTATTGGAACTCAAAAATCTCCCAAATCCCAGTGCGCTAGAAATGAAAAAGTCTCTATACGACTGGGCTCGACCGGTAAGTGTTGTGCATCGACATGACAGATAGCGTGCAGAATTCGTTGGCGTGCTTGCAGACTAATGTAGGCCCTTCGGCGCCTGCAAGGTTCCTGGCCAATGAAATAACTGAATTTTCAATACGTTCTTTTGGGTTCGTCGATTCGTTTAACCTGTTGATTGACATGGAGACGTAAAAAACACTGGTGTGATTCTGTGAAAGCAGGGAGGCATGAAATAAGAACTTAAACCGCAGGGCAGGGCGAAGGGACAGCCGTTGGCGTTCAGAAACTGGCTCGATTCGATTTTGACAAAGACTAGTTAGGAATCGTCTTCCAGAATATTTGTGGATTCACACATTTGATCATAATCCATTCTCGAATAAAACCTGAAATTACATTTTAAACAACAAATGTAAAAAATGAATTCACGAAGCATACGGTCTTATGCTGTGAATTTATAAACCAATACCGGGAAATTGGGTCAATAACTAAAATCTTCGATCTTCACCAAATAATCATCCGAGTCACAGTTGGCAGCACCAAATGATCTCACATCGAGGATGTCCGAGGCAAATCGTCTATTAATGTATGATCAATTTGATTAAATACTGTGCCATCTGGAGACGCCTATGTTCTTTTGTGTATTTCCTTATGTGGAAAACAGGCTGAACCAATCACCAAATTTTTACTCATTGCAAAATCTATCAGTTTGCACCAATTATCATTGGACTCTGTGGGTCATTTCTTTGCCTACCTTGGCGTTCAGGTCTCCGAGAATGATTTTGGTGTCATTTATGGCCGCTGAATCATATACTACTTTCAGCTACTGGTAGAATTAATATTTTTTAAAGTCATCCTTATCTTCCGTTGGAGCATGTACAATTATTAGGGATATGTTAAAAACATTTGGATTTGATACATAAAACACATATTCTGTCACTTACAGGTTTAAAATACAGAATACTACTCTTTAAATATTTATATACAACAAAACTCTATTCCTAATGTTCTTGCCACTATAAAATATCTGACGACTTTTAAGACCCATTATTCCGTTCACTTTTCATTTAGTTTCTTGATCCTGTAGTCCTTTAATTGTCGCAGTAAAGACTTCGTCACTCCAGGTTTAAAGTGTTCAGACATTCGAAGAACACAAATTCGTAATCCTTGTTCTTAAACTCCTTCCTTCCCGAGGCTTCCTTAAAGGGTTCGAAAATAGTATGTTTTACGGAGAAGGGTAGTCGGCTCGCCTAACCCCCAACCTGGAGGACCAGGGTATCTCAGTCTGGGCCATCACCATTGACCTGTCCGGCATGGGAGACCCTTCTGGTAGCTGCACTACCGTCGCCATAGCTCTCGGGATCACATGACCACGCAAGGCCAACTACCACGACAAAGTGGAGATATACGTACGTCGGGGATGGTGTCATCTTCAAAGGTTATTTCTGGAGAAAGCGACAGAAATGTTACATCATGTACATCGTTGGTTGACGGGATTGTCAAACCGGAGTGCTTTTTCAGTTTCTGTGTTACATACGAACGAACTGGTATTGCAATTGTTAGGCTAAACACGTATTTGATTAATGCGTTTGAAGACAGAAAATTAATATAAATCTGACAGCATGAATACAGGTCTGTAGTCTAAACTGACAAATCGATCATCTCCTTATGTGAAATAAATTAAAAAGTATAAATACGGCAGAGTCTTCTCTTAGACGCTGGATTAATCTTGAAAAAAAAACAGAGGCTCCAGATGTGTGTCGTCACCAGAATTCAGAACAAAATCATTACAATGAAAATAAATAGTAAACTCTTCGAAAACATGGTAACGTTAAAGTATCTGGGAATGGCAGTAACACATCAAAAACACGTAAACGTCTTAATTAAAGTCAGATTAAGCTCGCCGAATGTCTGGCCAGAATATTTTGACTTGCAATTACCATATCTGAAATTCAAGGATTACAGTAACAGAGTTTAAACTAATATTTTCTTTGGACACGAAACTAAGCCACTCACATAAAGACAAGAACAGGGTGATGACGAAAGTGTTTTGACCAAGGCGGGCGAAAATACCAGAAGACCAGAACAAATTGCAAAATGAGGAACCTCATATTTAATAATATTCAGAAATAGTAGACATATCAAGAGTGGATGTGAGGAACATGTAGTGTGCAAGTGTACGTCGCAACAACATTACATTGCATACTAACACGTACATGTATACAGTCGAAGGCCTAACCTGATTCCATGTTTTGGAATATTTAATAAATTTGTACGTTACAAAAGAAATGCACTATAAACAAAGTTTTGGTTTCAAAGATATCTCAGTGAAAGGAATTATATAAAACGAGACTTTCTGATAATGTTAAAGCACTTTAATACAAGCTTGTACAGTAAAAGACAGTTGTCTGCCAAAACAGATGAAGAGACCACAGTTCATTTCGTAATTTACTTTTTTAAGTAACGTATTTATATTTTATGGCGTGACATTAAAAAACGCAGTGCCAGTGGACTTAGCAAGACTTAGAAGCTTTCACAGTAACAACGCAATCACCTGTGTAAGTACGAAGTTACAATGAATTGCACCTCTATTCTTACGCAGTTGGTCAACCTGGAAATCTTCACTGTAGTCAGAACACGTACTTTTGTGTCTCCATTTTGTACATGTTACAAGCATAAGAAGAAGCAATCCGTCATAATTATGATCCTTTATTTCGAACTGCACAACAGACAAGACAATGCTACACTGTTCTTCAAAATTAAATTAAAATTAATCTTCAATTGATAAAACTGACAATAATATTTTGTTTCACTTATATTCAAGTAGTTAACACACACAATAACTTTACATACAGGGCCTGGTTTAAAATACAGACATCAAATAAATACGAGATATTTTAAATCATCTGATGACAATTTTGCATTTATGCTGTTTCAACACCACGACGAAGACCGTCTTCCGGGTCGTCGCGGTAAACTTCTACCAGACTATGCGGTTCAACCCAAAGACGTCCGCCTTCGGACTTACCAACAGCATTTTCAGAAATTATTAAGCTTTTTAAAATAGGCACCTATAATGCAAACGTTATTATGCCAACATTTCTAATGTAACATCAATTATCCATCGTAAGTTTATTACAGATGAATGTAGGCCAATGAAAAACAAAAAGACGAGTGAACGTCGAAGTATTCCAGCTGCGGTGCACGAGTGTTAAAACAATTATTAATGCAGAATTACAAGGACACCAATTCCTCTATTAACTATATATAGTAAACGCGACAACCCCGATTCAGAAGGGTTCTGATGATAGCGTAATACAATCTGGAACATCGGCTTTTAGACCTCGTCCGTCTTGACGCAAAACGTCGCGTTTTGTGACACCAGACAATGGACAAGGTCCAAAACCCCAAGAATCTAGGGTGAAAGACCTGTTACGATTTTACTTTGAGCACTCCACGCAGTGATTTAAGTCACTCAAGAAAGCAGATTTCTTTAATAAATAACACACCGATCACATTATACGCTTCAATTACTGCTTTATCAACTGACTAGGGAACAGGCTCACATTTTGGAAGATTTTTAGTTAATGTAATGTCTGAAACAAGCTAGGAAAATATAACGGAGCTTCGATCAACCTGAATTCACAATTATGAGAACTACGAAGTCACGGATGTTCATAATTTTACTCTTTGTGCCTTCGGTAACTTGTCAGCTCTTTCGATGATTATTGTTAACTACACTAGAAAGGTAGAGAACTGCAAGAAAATTTAGCTTCCATCCACATTGGGAACCCAGTACATATTTAGATATTCTAGTTCTAGTATATTAGATAACAGGACCAACTCAAAAAAAATTTAGCGAACATCTATAATCACAGATGCGTAATATCTTGAGGAATCACAGATGTACATGAAATTAACGAGACAAAAATATACTCGAAGCGGTAGAATCTAGAACTGTAATAATACGTCGAACTATTAACCCTCTGACTGCCGAGTACGTGTCACTCTCTCCCCAATATATTGAGCCTTTCATAAGGTTTAAAAAGCACAGTAATTTATTACATTTATAAAGTATAGCTGTCCCACTATACGCCAAGTAGGCGCTTGGGGGGAGAGGAGTATAGCTCCTACTCATCTTGACCTTGGCACAAGATGGGGGTGAGTGGTCAGCATCACGGCCCCTGCCGCGCTTTACCACCGGGAAATGACCCCGGTACCCATTGGATAGGAGGCCGAGTGGGCCCCAGAGCCGGTCTGGATGCAGAGGCTAGAGGAAAAATCCTCTGCCCCCGTCGGGGATCAAACTCCGGTCGTCCAGTCCATAGCCAGTCACTGACTGAGCTACGCTGGAGTTCCATATAAATGTCTCAAGACGGTGGAGTACGTGCAATCGGTCACTGGTGCGAGGGGGGGAGACCCTGAGATCAGTCAAAGGGTTAATTATGAAGCGTTTAGAATTATTGATGACAAAATGATGTTGATCCAGCTTTCAGTTCAGTCTTTCCATGTGGTATATTATGTACAATATATGTGCACTTCATTCAGCCCTCAATGCTTCTTTATTAACAATCTTCTCTACATATTAATACAAGAGCATGTTATGACAGTAGATCTGAAACAGATAAAAAAGTAAGAAGAATTAGTAACTAAACAGAAACAGTCGTAATGTACAACAAACTACCCTGAGACCCTGGAGCATTACGTTTATTTCAGTAATCTTACAACCGTAAAGAACCCACCATTCACAACTGGTTCCGTCACCACCAACAAAGTCTATTAAGCAATTAACACAGGATATATGATTTGAAGCTTTCGCGGCCCTCTTAGGGCGATCAGCTGGTCAGAAGAAGCAACCGACATAGAGATAAAACCCTCTGCCCCAGTCACCCAGCCCGTAGCTAGTTACTAAACTGACTGAGCAATCCTCGTTCATAATCATTACAACATAAACTTCAATTAACGCCAGAATTAAGGATTTTATTACGTCAAATCTGATAATTTTATTCAAGCAACGTGAAAAGGTCCACAGGAAAACATCGAAAGCACAATTAATACAAAAAGCTGCTGACTCGTAACCTTGTATGGTTCTATGTGATTACTACATGACAACGATGACGATGAAGACAATGCTCTGAAAGTGACACATACCAGTAACTGAATTGCTATCTGTTTTCTTGGCCAGGTTTTCCTGAAACGCGATGAACGGCGGGGCAGGCCCATTATTCATTACATTTGAGTTGACATTATCTTCATTTGAAAGCTTTCCTGTAGCTGGAACTGTGCTCAGGTCCAAAATCTGCTCAAAGTCTGTAGGTGCCGTCAGCTGTGGAGCGGTATTCAGCGTCACGTTGTTTGTGCCGAACGCGTCAAACTCTGAAAAGTCTAGTAAGTTGTTCGTCGCATTGTTCTGTTTCCTGAAAGAAAAGATAAAAACTTGTAACAAGTTGCACGTTACACAAATGTGACAAGGAGGCGAGGAAATGGTAGCCTTTCACCACAAACTACATATTTAAATTTATCAAAGACAAATTATTTTTTATAAAAGTCATCAGTATAATAAGAATGTCTCTTTCGATACTTTCATATGCAGCTTTTTTATGAAGGCGGGTGCATGTACAATATTCTGTGAAACGCCACCAAGAAATAAACGCACTGCTGAATGTTACAATTTGCATAAAACAAGTCACCATATATTGTAGTGTACTGCCCCATACAAGCCATGGGTCATGACTGATCATCCTGAATGACATTTTTCTCAGGCCCACCACTGGCCACGATCCTGAGCCAACTCCATCCATTTGCCATCCTCACAGCCCACCTCCCTAAGATCCACCTTGATGTTATCCTCCCATCTCCTTCTTGGTCTGCCCAATTGTTGTTTTCCAGAAGGATTCCTTACCAAAATCCTGTATGCATCCCTTTTCTCCTCACGCGTGCTACATGTCCAGCCCATCGGAGTCTCCTATGCTAGGTGACCCGTACAATTGACGTAGTTCCTCGTTATGCAGTATTCTAAATTCCCCCTGAATTACATATTTAAATACAAGATTTAGTGTTAAATATCAAACTTCAAAGTCGTTAATCAACCAGTTATACAAGCTGTGGAAGGCCTAATTATATGGGAAAACAATTACGTGAAAAAGCAGAAATTTTTTTAATAAAGATTAAAACCAATATTCTAATTACGTTTCTGAGACTTAAAACAGGTAGCAATATTATGCACTCAAATTGAATAATTATATAATTTCCTGCTTACATGCTAAGAATGTCCAAAGGATCATAAAGTTAAAACCGTACACTGGACTTACCAATTACCAACTGATGGGCCTTCTTGTTACTTTCAAGGTTAACATAAAAATGGAACACATTTACATTTACCCTAATAGAAACTACAGCAGCTTTGATCTCCATAAAAAACTTTAACCACACAATTAATTAGTTAACGATGCGACAGAATGTGTTAAGGTGTTATTAGTAAATTGCTTTCACGAGCAAAGTAGCCTGAAGAAGATCCTTCCGAATGTCACATATATTCTTAACATGGACGTAAGCAGCCTGAAATACAAAGACTTTCAATATAAACAGAAGTACACCAGATATACTTTAGCTTCAAAATTTTCAGAAATAATACAAGTTATATTAAGGACATTTATTTACAGGCAGCAGCTAGTCTGCATGAAGCATCAGCCACAAAATTGAATCACCTACAAAACAAAAATGCTGTGTGCCCCGTTAATATGCAGAACGAGCACTATGAAGCCAACAAACAACTTGATATAAAGCGGCTGAGCCTTTTACAAACAACCGCTTCCAAGGCAAGTTAAGTTACATTGAAGTGCCAACTTCTACTTCTACCTTAACCTCACTTTCCTTACTTTCATAAACATTGCGACTAGTTCTGTAAGCTTATACAATGTTTTTCAGCACCAGCAGAGTCCGACGCACTACACTGAAGAACAAATATGATTTTCTGGAGGCTTTCAATACCATTAGTCCAATTCCTCTTCTGCCCAGCGCCGAGCTTGCCGTATGCGATCTCAAAATTTTATCATTTTACATGGCACTCTAAAACTGGAAACTTTTATCAATATTTACTACATGGTAAATGCTTTACAAAATACAAACAAAAGTCAATGACAGAAACTCTTCTTCAATTTACCGCTGAAACCTATTTTGCATAAATCTTAAATCTGCATACATAACCTAAAAGACTATGGTTTGACAGTGACAGCTGACAAGGGAGAGTAGAAATTGCAAGTACTATTTCAGTCGTCACCTAACAAAGTTAATTTACGTAAAAAAATTAAAATTCGTAGTTGATCTTTGTAATGGAAAGTGTTGTTTTCTTTGAGGTATGGACTGAATTCTTAAATACCATGTGGACAAGCTTTGGCATCTATGGGTTCATGGTTAATATTATATGCATATTTAATAATTTTACATAAAAAGCATGTAATCCAGACTGCAAACTGCGTGTGTGATTTATCTGTAGTTACTATTCTACCGTATTACTTATACAAAATTTATTTGAGGTTTTCATGGTGGTAGAATTGCAGATTTTTGATCTTCTGGACTGTGACACTGCGTAGTCTTGAAGACGGCTACCAATGTTTCACAGGAATGTATTAGGACTAATCTTCAAGCACCCCACAATTAACACAATTCATTTCATTATGCCGGGCAGTTCATTCAGTACAGTGACTGATTATGGACTGGATGACTGGTGTTTGATCTCCAGCAGAGGCAAAGAATTTTTCTTCTAGCCTCTGCATCCAGACTGGCTGCAGGGTATATCCAGTATCCAACATATACCAGGGGTCCTCTCTGCTGCCTGTATTCTGAATTTAGTTATCAACGAGGCTTGTACAACTGATCCCATCAGAAACTGCGCAGTACCTGCTGTTAATAAATTTCTGTAAGTACTTGCTTCAGTAACTGTTACAATAAGCACAAATCAGCTATCATTTTCATGTTACACTGTATTAAAACTGTTTAATTAAGGGAGATGACTAATTAATTGTAAAGGATACATACATGGAGAAAGGCAAGTTTTAGGCAATGAAGTAAAAGAAATTAACTGTCATTAAAACTAAACAGTCTACATTTCTGAATAAAATATTATTTTCTTAGATTGAACTAAATTTTTGTAAAACCCCTCCCATTCTTCACTGCTTTCAAAGAATGGTCTGCCTCACTCTCGTGTTTTGTGAGCACACTTCCAGGCTGCAGTACGAGTAGTCTATCTGGTTGCTCGACGTAAGACCAATGTTCGTGATGCTAATGTTGGGATTTTATATTGATATTCTTAAGACTTGGATAACTGCCCGCAGTATGTCCTGAAAAATCTTGGACGACCTTTTTTGTTCTTGATGATGCTGTCGAGGTATCTGGTGGTTCTGAATGAACATTCCATATATCACAACAGGTTCTGATTATAATATTCTCAATAATACTTTCAAATAACTCAGTAGGATGTGACGTTCACATGGCAGGGCGTATGAAGATGGCTGTCTTCTGAGTTGTTGCGTTGTGTAGTCTGGCAGAAGTTTACCAACATTTAAGAGTTTCTTGCTGCCTCCATCATCAGGGCAATGCAATCTTCATTTCAAATAACTTGTTTATTATGTGAACATATGATGAGTATCTTCCTCCTTTCTAAAACAGAACTTCAGTACAGTTACGATCAAACTTTTGAAAAGAAAACTGAATTAAATGAAGCACTTACTCCTTATTTAATAAGTTAACATTATGACATTGTTAGGCACTTCTGCATTACATTACTAGATAACCATTACAGAATATAACCACAAATGCATATTTTCATCAAACTGTAGTACCTGAAACATTATGCCACCCACAGAACCTACATTTAAAACTTCTCATATAATAAAATTACACATGACATAATGGTAATTCTCAGAAGTTAGCTGCCCTGAAAGCAGAAGTGGCTGTGTCTTGTTACTGTTGAATATCAAGGTGCCAAAACAAGTCGTAAGCTGTTATTCTGCTGAAAATCATTTGTCCACAGAACATAAGTACCTGTTTACCGTCTTCAGATTGTAATTTTTTGTACCTTAATACCCTGATAACAAGCCTCGCTAACTCAACCAAATGATAAACCTAACAAAATTTAAATTGAACTGAAGATTGAGTTGTATAGGTAAGAAAAAAGAAAGAGTTAAACTTCCCACCTAAACAGAACTGTGCGGACAAGCGTATGCATACCGATTATGCAGTTAGTTTTTTTTACCTGACCCTGGGGAAATATAAAACAAATCATGGAAAGATAGCTCATGTTTATACAGAAACTTGAGGAAGCAAGATGGGTTTGAGAAGGCCAAAGCAAAGGTTAGTAACCACAGCCATCACTCAGATTGTGGAAGCAGTAAGTCCCTCTGCAATGTCAGTCAATTTCTACCTGACTCTACACAACACTATAACTTCATTACTTTCATTTTGTAAGACCATCATAACTCTTTGATAAAACAGTGTCAGGTCAAACAAATAATCATCTTCCCCCTCAATAACTTACGACGTAAGTATAATTCAAGGAAACATTAATTCAGGAACGTCTTGCAACACAGAATGGAAGAGAGCTAGAGTGAAAGGCACGTCATGCTTTGCAGCGGCACAATCTGCAATATTTTTCATATCCCAAGTTTTATAACGCTTTTGAAAAATTTGGAAAATACTTAGAGTTAATCATTTTCATTTTTAAACTTTGTGCTTCTACCCTCTGAGCTTGTTCCCTGAATACATCATTAGAGTTTGAGAGTGTGATGACAATTATTAGGTGCAGCTGATCACGTGATAAAAGCTGTTGTTATTTTCAAGGAATATTAATAGGGGCTCGGCATATGGTCTCCACAAAACACGAGTGGAAAGGTGTACTCCAATTATGAGTACATTATCCTTCAACTAAAATTTTAAATATCTCACTGGTTTAAACTTCATTTACCGTTGCTATAAATCTCATGCTCAGATAACTGAAAGGTAATTTTTCTTCATACCAACGAGTATGTAATTTCACCGACAAAAATCATTAATGTCAATCTAAAACAGGTAAAACTCCTTCATTCCAATCGTCTTTTACCATTCATATGGTTTATGCACACAGATTTACTCACATGGATAATCAGGAATACACTATACAACGTGGCACCAAACTTTGCACAATAGTCGGTACATGTGATGTTGGCAACATCTGAACCATTTTCTGTACTCGTAAAAATTATCTACTAACCACCTCGCTTGAAAGAACCATTAAAATATACCTGAGTATACTGATGATTTAGTTTGTTCCCAACAAGTTTTGGCTCACCAAGACCATCATCAGGAGTATATACAGAATGTCCGCAAATTAGCAGACAATTTGAAGGGCATGTAAGCATATGAAAACCGTATGTGCTACAAA